GAACCCTTCAGTGTCCTAAATAAGAACGCAATAAATACTTCTGGACATTCCGCATGACTTCTTCAGATCAGTATTTTGAATAAAAGAGATTACAGCTGCTCCAGAGGAGGAGTTAACTTCCCATGTCAGACGTAACTAATTCCTACATCTCTAGTATATGAAAATGAGAATTCATCCTAACTTCTCTACTCTTAAGAATTCATTAAAAAACTAAATAAAACAATTACATAGCTGAATGAAACTTAAACAATGAAAAGCTAAGGGCTAGTTGGAGAGAACCCTTCAATCTCATAAACAAAGAACTAGATTCTTCTGAATATTTTGCCTTTCTTCTTCAATTAAGTGTTTTGGTCTTACACGAGAATTCTCCTAAGGAATGATTAGGCTCTGATTGGTGCGTGAAAGCACTTTCTACTTTTCATTTTTCTAATTAATAGTGTAATGCATGTTTTTATTTAAAAAGTATGTAAAATGTGTACGTTTGTAGAATAATCAGAGTAAAAATGAGAATAATATTCTAGAAACACTAAAATTATTTTAAAATTCTCTAATTCTATCGTTCATTTTCAGTTTTATCTTCTTCATTCTTAACTATCTTATATGTTTCTTGTGAATAAAATACATATGAAAATGTAGAAAATTAAAATAAAAGAAATGTTTTCATATGCACGACGAAGTCTTACTTTCTCTTGTTGGAAGTAATTGAATTCCCACATCTATAGGAACTGAACATTAAAACTTATCCTAACTTCTCTATTCTTAGGAGTTTATTACATGACTAAATAAAAGAATTACATAACTAATAAAATTTTAACAATCCTGGGGCCTTTTTCAGTCATGGGTCCCACCTCTGCCTTTTAGGCAATGTGTCATTCTGTTCTTGATTCATAACACTGTTTTTGTCCGGATATATACGTTAGAGTTCATTGTTTGATTGGTGTTTTTATTTGTAGGATTTGGATCTCTTGGTTTGATGACGTCAGTTCTGGTATTGAAAACAACATTTTTACTTCAACTTTTCCCCGTTTAGGTCCTTTCTGATTGTATTTTTGATACATGATATGTTGGGTTGAGTTCCAGGTGTGTCCAGATGGGAAGACCATAGAATCTGAAGCAGCGCATGGGACAGTTACCCGCCATTACCGGGTTCATCAGAACGGAGGCGAAACCAGCACAAACAGCATAGCATCCATTTTTGCTTGGTCACGGGGTCTTTCACATAGGTAACAAATTCATGTAGACTGTCCGATGCACCAATGAATTTCCTCGCTATTTAATATCTTTAAGTTTTCATATTTGATTTTCTTTGAATGATCACGTAAAAAGTAGAAAACTGATTATAACAATGTTATCAGGGCCAAGTTGGATGGTAATGCCAGACTGTTGGATTTTACTGAGAAACTGGAATCAGCCTGTATTAGTACTGTTGAATCTGGGAAGATGACTAAAGATCTAGCACTTCTGATTCATGGCCCTAAGTACGTAAAGTTAGAAGTGCATTTATTTGCTAACGATATTGTTATATAGTTTATCTGTAAAAGTTATGGTTGTTTACTGTTTAGTACTTCCAATTTCTTTGCAGGGTTACTAGAGCTCACTATCTTAATACTGAAGAGTTTATCGATGCAGTAGCTGAAGAGCTGAGGGAAAGGTTGTCTACAAAAGCAAAGTTATAAAATCTTCAAGGACTCCAGCTTGGGTTTATGCTTTACAGGAATGCTTATACACTATTTGGCACTACCCTTCTATGATATGCTCCCCAGCCCTATGGTTCTACTTTTTTTGTTGGGTTAAATTCTATATTATGTAATGATTTAAATGTTTATATTATGTAATGATTTAAATGTTATGTAATGACTCAAATCTTATGGCGTTGTTTTTTTCAATATAAATATGTAAAGAATTTTGTTTAGATAATTCTCTATGTCCTATGTATACATACAGAAAATGGAAAACATAATAATAGAAGATATATATATAAATACATTATAAACATTGGAACCAAAACACTTCATCTTCTGAATCCATTAAAATATATAAACTCATCAAACTAAATTCATAAAATCTCATCTATAAAGTATACATCTGAATCCATACTACTATGCCATTATCACTGGCATAGTTTAAAACTTAAAATATACATATCATATTTTACAACTAAATAGATAAAATCACACATGTTAAGATCAAAAATTAATAGTGTTATTATTCTCCACATATTCATGGTGGCACAACTTAAAATTTATTGTTCCCCACATATTTCCTGTGGAATTTTAACTATAGTTTGTTAAAACTACCTTTGTGCCACTACACTAACATGAGCATCTACATCAGTCATGCCCCTATCTATGCCTCTGCCTCTAGCAGTATTGTGTCTCGTGTTGTCCTTTTCCTCCTAGAGTTGCCTTGATTTTAAGTAGACGTGTACCTTTCCATATTACTTCGACTTGTTGAAACAATCTCAACATGAGATTGTTTTCTTCATAATTATCCCTTCTCCATGCATGAGATTTTAGCTTGGAAGATATATTGGACCACGTATACAACTTGGCCACATTGCCATTCACTTGGCAGGTTGCATGTAAAATTGTTACATACTCTAGCTTTGCCACAAGGCATAAAGGGGAATGTTATAAGCATTTATATCGTAAATTGATTCTCAACGAAATAAAAAAGACAAATATGATATAATAGAAACTATAGAATATGACCCTAATCGACATAGTCCCTACACTACAGTGATGGTGATAAGATATATACTTTACATTCTAGATGAGCTATAATAAGAAATACAATTATTTTTGGTATAGAAGTTCTTGAAAAATGGAATACCTTTGGATTTCCTTTGAACTATTGTGTGTAATTGGAATTAATCAATTAAATTTATGATGAAACCTATAAATTAATATCTAATCTAATTTGAGTACCTCTACAAGATAGATCTCAACAAAATATCTATAGTATTGTTATATGTAATCCTCAGGCTTCTTTTGGACATAAAATATTATAAAAAAAGATCATGCATGTAGGAGATGCTAGATAAGTTCCATGTTCAACAAGTCAATTACCTAGGTGTATTATGAAAAGATTTGAACGAGTTTTGAGAGAATGAAATTTGTAGTTTTGGTGAAAAATAGAGTATCACCTACTGCCTTCCTTTTCTTATGTATTAATAAAAATGAAGAAGAATTACAATATTTTCTCGAAGGAACTTTCTTCTTCCCTTTTATAAAATAAAATATAATAAAAAAATGGAATAAACAAAGACAACCATATGATGGGTATATCACCCACTACACAATCAGTTACAAGGAATATGTGGGAAATCATTGATATATTTACAGGTCACCAGTGATTGGGAGACACGGTGACAGAAACTTAACGGTTTATGTACTGTTGCTGCTGAGGTGGAGTGAGACGACCTTCAGTCTCCTGACATGGCAACTCTGCCACCTTTGCTTTTCCTTTCCTGTCTAAGTATCCACCACGTGTATATTCTGCTTATGTGGATCGTTGACCACGTACATCATCTTCGTTCTTTGACACTCCCCCGTAAAATGGGCTGTAGATATTTTCTACTCCCATCTTGTTCATATGAGAAACTAGTGTTTCCTTACCCAATGATTTGGTGAACATATCAGCCAACTGTAATCCACTTTGGACCTGTGAAATAACTACCATTCCTTCTTTAATCTTTACTCGAATTAAGTGGCAATCTAATTCGATATGCTTAGTACGTTCGTGAAAAACTGGGTTCGCAGCTATATACATCATCGATTTATTGTCACACTGAAGAACAGCAGGATCAAGATGCTTGATTTGAAGATCGTTTAGTAGGTACCTTAACCAAGTTAATTCACAACAAGTTGTTGCCATGGCGCAGTATTCAGCTTCTGCCGATGATCTAGAAATTGTTGGTTGTTTCTTTGATCTCCAGCTGACTAGACTTGCCCCGAACAGTACACAATAACCAGTGACAGATCTTCTAGTATCTTGCAGGCCCAGTCGCTATCACTATATGCTGAGAGGCGTACATCATAATTTGCAGCATAAAATAGGCCCTGTTCTGGCGTTGTTTTGATATACCTCAAGAACTTGTGAGCGACATTAAGGTGACTGCTTCGTGGTTCCTCCATAAATTGACTAAGCAACTGAACGGGATAAGATAAATCTGACCTGGTGATGGTGAGGTACATTAGCCTTCCGATCAGCCTCTTGTAACTTGTTGGATCATCAAGCAACACACCATCTTCCTTAGATAACTTTAAGTTGCGATCTAAGGAAATCATTGATGGTGAAGATTCACTCGTTCAGGAGTCATTAAGCAAATCCAAGACGTATTTTCTCTGATTAATATGTATTCCGCTTTTGCTTCTAGCAACTTCAATCCCTAGAAAAAAAATTGAGATTTTTCAGGTTTTTTATTTTAAATTTGCCGTTGAGGGAGTCTCTCAGTTCAGCTACGGCCTCCTCATTGTTGCTTGCAACAAAATGTCGTTCATGTACACAAGCATTGCCATGAACACATTTTCTTTCTTCTTTGTAAAAATACTGTAATCTGCCTTCGACTAAGTGAACCCCATCTGAACTGCAAAATCTGATAGCTTGGTATACCATTGTCTTGATGCTTACTTTAATCCATATAAGCTCTTCATCAGCTTACATACTTTCTCTTTTGTCTCTAGACCTTCTAGTGGCTCCATATATACTTCTTCATCAAGATCTCCGTGCAAGAATGCATTGTTAACATTGAATTGGTGATGAGACCAATTATTCATAACCAAGAGAGCCAGTAGAACTCTGACAGTTACCATTTTCGTCACTGGTGAAAAGGTCTCGTGATAGTCCAAGCCCTCTTGCTGGGTGTACCTTTTCGCCACTAATCTGGCCTTATGCCTCTCAGTACTCCCATCAGCATTGTACTTGACTTTGTATACCCATTTGCATCCCACTACTTTCTTCCCCTTAGGCAAATCACACATAATCCATGTGTCATTCTCCTCAAGGGTAGTGATCTCAAACCTCATTGCCCTTTCCCATTTTGGAACATTTCTTGCTTCAAAATAATTTTTAGGTTCAATGTGAGTAGTTATAGAAGATACATAAGCCTTGTATTCTGGGTTAATGTGATTATAAAAAATAAAGTCATTTAAAGGAAAAAGAATACCTGTTTCACCAGACCCTTTCTTCTTGCAAGGATTATTGTTCAGGGGTTCGGACGATGACACTTGGTGACACATGAAGTCCTGCAAGTATGCAGGAGGTTTCTTCTGTCTATCTGATCTTCTGCGAATATGATTGGATGTACTAATTGGTGACTGTGTTTGAACAATCTCATTTCCATCTTTTGTTTGAGGACTCATAAAGTTTTCTACTTGTTCATCTCTTTGTTCACTCATTTCTGGTGGTGATGGTTGTAAGTTCATTAATTGAAAATTGTTATAAGGGATGTTGATCTCTTGTTGATTTGGGATATTTTGATTCTCTTGAGGGTTCTAGTTTAAGGTCGACTTGCAAGGAAATTCATTTTCGTGGAACACAACATCTCTTAACACGAAAATTCTCTTTGTTTCCAAATCCATCAATTTATACCATTTAATTCATGTGGGGTATCCTAGAAAAACACATATCCTCCCTCTAGGATCAAATTTGTGTCTCCCATTTGTCAGTGTAGTGTAGTAGGCAAGGCACCCAAAAACCTTCAAATGATTGTGGGAGGGTTTGGTTCCAAATAACACTTTATAAGGGGTCTTGTTGTTGAGAACAGAAGTGGGTATCCTGTTCACCAGGTGAACTGCTGTGAGAATACGGTCAGACCAAAAAACCATCCCCAATCCACTTTGAAACCTGAGAGCTCTAGCAACGTTAAGCAAGTGTTGGTGTTTTCTTTCCACCACAGCATTTTTTTGTGGTGTTTCAGTACAAGTCCTCTGGAGTAAGATCCCCCTTATTTGGTATAATTCTTTTAAGTTGAATTCCCCGCCATTATCACTCCTTATTGTTTTAACTTTGGTTTCGAATTAATTTTCTATCATGATACAAAAATTTTCTAAGTTCATGGCCACATCTGATTTATGTTTAAGCCAGTAAACCCAAGTACACCAACTGTAATCATCAACTATACTCAGATAAAAGCAAAAATTATCATAAGAAATCTCATTACAGGGGCCCCATACATCGTAGTGAACAAGCTCAAAAGGTTCTGAGGCTCTGTGTTGTGTTTCCAAATGGGAGCTTCGTTGTTTAGAGTAACAATAGACGTTACAAGGTTTACATTCATAATATTTAATCTCACTATTATCTACTAGTCTAATCTTAGAATCTGAGGGGTGTCCTAACCTAAAATGCCATAAATCAAATCTTGTCTCTAATGCATTAACGACTGGTAGCTGAAGTTTCTGAGGGAAACCTGGAAGAGACTCTCCTGCAGCAGCAGCAGCAGCGTCCTCATCTCTCACAAAGTGATATAAGCCATCCTTTACTCTACCCATACCAATGATCCTCCAAGTCGAAAGGTTCTGTAAACAACAAGCATTGGATATGAAGGTCAAGCAGCAATTCTGGTTTTTCGTCAATCTTTTGGTAAATAGCAAATTAAAAAAAAAATTGGGTACACACAAAACATTATTTAAGGTCAAGATTTTTGTGATTTTAACGGATCCGGAGTGGGTTGCTGCTATTCTGTTTCCATTTAGGAGAACAACTGAGTGTGATACCTTGAGTGTATTTTAAGTGTAAGTGGAGGTTCTGCATATGATGTGATCAGACGCACCTGTGTCGATGATCCAAGTTGCCTGATGACTGGATTTTAGTGGGTTTTTGAGTTTAGATAAGCAAGTAAATATACCAGAACAGTTAGGCAAATTGTTTGAGTCATCTTCCTTTG